TTTCATCTAATCTTCCAGCTCAGACCAAGCCGAGCTTGAAAGTCGCTTTCTCTATGATAGGAATGGACAAATAAAGGTCCCTTCCAGCTCTCCATGAAAGAAGTCTGTGTGCTCTGTGGATTAGAGCCCAGTGTTTTCCCTGTCTCTGTTTCTCAATTAGAGTCCAGTGAAAGGGGGGGGGGGGGGGGGGGGAGACTACCCTGTTTGTGTAGTATTGTAAGGATTTGAAAGTTTATACTCATTTCTTTAGTTGTCATTCTTTCTTTCTCCTTCATGGACATTCTATGAAACCGTGAAACAAGCATTTTCTCAGCTTTTCTTTGAGAAAACTCTGTTCTCTGAAATAAAGGTTCTATTAAAGTTTAATTATACAAACTGCATTTGAACTTAAAACTCGTATAAAAACTTTTTTGTTTTGTTTGTTTGTTGTTTGTTTTGAGAAAAACAGGAAGCACTAATAAAAGTGGGAGATGTGAACTTTTTGTTCAGGCACTTTCGCAGACAGCTCATGCCATGTAAACATGGGTCCTTCAGATTAGGTTTTCCTGCCAACTTTGAAAGCTCCGCTGTCTCTCTCCGATATGGTATTTTATGAGCATTTATTAAAGCGTTGTCTTCTTTTTCTGTCAAGTAGTAGAGATATATTTGTTGAAAATGTCTGTCATGGAACAACAGTCGTCTTGTTGAAATAGCTGTTGTTAGCTTGTTTCTTCGGTTAGCCGATGTAGAGATCTAATCTTTGTTGTGAAGTGTTTGCATCAGGTTAGGTTAGGTTAAGTTAGGTTAAATTAGGTTAGGTTATTATTGGTTTGATCGTCAGCGAACGTCTTTCAGATTAGATAACATTCAGTTCTGAGCAGCTGTGGTTATTAAGCTTCAGACCAGATCAGTGACTGACTTATATACTGTATTACACAACTCTGTAGTATCAAAAAACGAGACAGCTTCTCAGTTTTTGAACCAAGTACATGATCATTTATCATCTCATTTATCTCATGGCTGCAGTACTGCTAAAGTGTTGAATGAAATAAGTTTGTTGGACAATAATTCGAGCAGCAGGATGTGTTAATGTTGAATTAAGTTCAAATGTAAAACATTTAGAAGAAAACTTATCCTATTTTGTTACTTTATTTACTTTAGCCAAATGTACGACTTATAAAATATTACATTTGTAAATAATGTAATGTCTATCTGATTTACAATTAGTGAATTAATTTAGTAAATTTAGTAAAGCTTTAGTAAAGTTTTTAAAGTTATATTTTGTTGTATTACAAAATGTAACTGCTTAGATGGTATTTTGGTTCTAAAACACTGGATAGTATCATATTAAAATAATAATAATAATAATAATAATAATGCTTAATGGAGGTGGAAAGAGAAGTAAAATAATTTACTTAAGTAATGTTCAGTTACTTTGTTGAAAATTGAGTCAAAAATATGTGCACCGCACATCTTTAAAATATTTTAATTTAAACTGATCACACAGCCTCTTTAATATAACTGAACTCACTTTAATATTCAGACAGCTGCTGCTTCTATGTGACTGTTAGTAAAAGTATTAGTATTCAAACATAATTGACTATTAATTTGACATATTTTCCAATGAAATATAAATCTAAATATTAAATCCCAGCTATGGTGTTAATAATCAGCTGATATGTAAATAAATCTAGTATGCTGCAACCCTCCTGCTGTCTTTGAGTCAACGGACCCCTGAGGAGGCGTCTGGTCCTTTTTGACGCAAGGATAGTCAGGGTTAAATTCACTACCAGAGGCTGCAGGTCTAAGTCTCTCTAAGCTAACATAGGMCAGGATAACAGGATAAAGCAGCTTCTTTCTTTTAACTTGAAGCCAGCGTGTCTCATWGTCAGGAGTTTTTTCTTYACTATAACAAAAGTAAAGCCATGATGGTGGTTTAGTTGTCCATCAGTTAGCAGGTGGCRTGCTGAGAATTGCATGTCTGCTGAGGTTCGCTCAATGCTGGCAGACAAAACAACTTACTGAGCAGAGTTTGTACACAATCTCTAGGTTATTTTACCTGCAAACCTCCTCTGTGGCTCGTCATCACTTCTCACTGGATTAAATACCAGCTGACTGGTAAGGAAAAACTCAGGCCCAGTTTACATGACAGATTTTGAGTGAAATCGTAGCATTTCTGATGTGGTTTAGCCATTCATGCAGATGATAACTACTACTGTTTCCTCTGAAACYAAAATGTTTTGAATTTAGGTTTATGGATGTCTTTGGAAGCGCCCCTCAGAAGTGTGCGTGCACATTACTGACTGCTGCAATCAAAAATGTTTCTGCTCTTGAGTGAGTAGATAATCAACAGTAGTGAAGGCAGATAGCAGAGTTCTGTTTGTGCTCCTCTCCCTTTGCAACATGTGGAGCAAACCAACCTCATCCTCAGTCCAAATAAAATGTTTATCATTTAGGATGTAACTGTTTCTATACCTGAGATTGAAGTCTCTGCTGCAGGTCTCATTGAAAGTCAAAAATCACCTTGAGCCGGTGTTGCCAGATATGTCAGTTACCATTAAGGGTCAAGCCCCACTCTTTGTGTGCGTGTTTGACAACCTCCAAATCCAAGAAAGTGCACCCTTACTCAGCACATACAATAGTTTGGGTAAAGGAGATAGTATTATAGTTCATTGTTTCCTATCTGGCAACCCTGCCTGGCATGGGCACTACAGCAGATTCAACAAGCACAGCAATATCTATGTTAGTTTTTTAACGCCAGAATCAACATTAAACATTTCCAGGTTTTGTTCATGTGTAAACAGACCCCGTCACTGCAGGTATTGTGGAATATGTTCCTTTCTATTTCTGATTGTAAAATGTATATTTACATTTAGTTTTTTTTTTTTTTTAGTTTTTACTCAGTAACAGGTGGTAACTAAGTAAAATACATGAAGTAAAACATACAAAAGTACAAGTACAAATTATGCAAAATGTATATTCAATTACAGTAATGAAAGTATATGTAGTACTACTAGTAGTACTCTCCACCTCTGCCTAATAGCAATCACAGTAAAATAACTTGCTTGAATTCTCTTTTGTGTAGCGTATTTCTTTAAACAACTAAATACGATTATTCTCACTGAAGTTGCAATGACTTAATATAGCAAAGAAAAATAATTGAAAATGATTAAGTCACAGAAAAAAAAGCTTTTAATGTAAATGTAGCTAGCTAAAATTTCCACATATTTCATTTAAATGGACAGGATGGTTTTAATCATATCATTTATTTTTGGATCAACATCAGCAGCATGCTCCTTATGATGCCTTACTGGTGAACTATTTTGTGTAGTTTGTTACTTTTGCGAGGACTAGTTGAATTCAGGAATCCATTTACTTGTATAAATAGTTTCAAGTCACTCAAACTTATATTGTTCGTTGCTTAGTCTGCATGCAGTCACTAAAACTCAGCAAACATTTCTGACAGCTGCAGCTGTGGGGTGGGGGGTACTGTTTGACAAACTGTAAGCCTTGTTTTTTTTCCTGTGTACTTTATCCCCTGTTGCATCACGTCTTATCGGGATTACTACAAACTATACATTTACTTGTCTTCAGGTCTTTGCTGTATTGACGGCAAAATCCCCACATATCCAAAGGCCATCACACCCAAAACGTGTGCTGATGTATGGTGACACTTGAGCTGTCAGCCCTCTTGTGTCTCTTTGTGCTGTAGTGGCCAGGTAAATGACCTCATGGAGGAAATGGGTGATAATGTAAACAGATAAGTCTCTTGGTACCCGTTGACCACAGTCAGAACCTCCTAAATCAGGACCTTCTGACACGCTGCTCCATCAATGCCTGCTTCAGTGACACCCACAAAGCATTGAGCCCTTATCTGCTATGGACCCTGCTTAGCATTCACGCCATTCATGCGAACAATGCTACCTCTTCCCGCTCATTGGATCCGTGACTGACAGTGGGTGTTGGTGCACTTGTGTCTGACTTCAGCCTCTATCTGCCACTGGGCTGTTTGTCCAGTCCAGATACCCGCGTCCAGACACAATAAAGGGCGTGTGTCTTCCTCGCCACTTCCCATACTGTTTTTTTTTTTTTTACTGAACTTTTATAATGGACCTTGCTCTTTATTTGGCACTTTGGTTTCCTTTTCAAGAGGGCTTGTGTTAGATGGGGGGAGGCAGAAGGGCTGACTAATGTTCACCATCCACCGACCAGCCAGTGAGGTGAAAAGCACTGAAGCATCAGATAAGATTGTTGTTTTTGATGAACAACAGAATAACTAAAAGCCGAGGGATGATGTTGAGATTGAGATGTGAKTTGGCAAGAGTTTTAACTCAGATGTACCTGAAAATATAGTTGGTTTGATTGTAACTGCTTTTCTTGTAAGGCATATCTAGAGTAGGGTTGGGCAATTTTGGCAAAATAATTAATCACAATTGTGGTATTTAGCCGATAACAATTAATTTGACAATTAATGCCCTAGAGTCCCTGGACACCCTTATGTCCTAGTCACATGACCAATTTAGCAGGAAAGATTTGCTCTTTGCAAAAATTTGTTTCAAATTGTGTCAAAATTACAGACTTCAGGCTATACATCAAATTTTAAATTGTGTTGATAGATAGATAAATTACAGAACTTTTTTTTAATGTTCGTCGTATAGGAAGCAGAGAGGAGCTTTTGAACCATGTGCAATATTTTTTGGGGGGCAAAATCCACTTTAATAACCCTGCTTCACAGCGTTACTATACAGCTTCCATAATACACCCCTGTGATCAGCATATCCCCCTCTTCCCTGCTCTTATTTATGAATGGCAGAATTTGACAAGGGGGCAGTTCAGGTTTGGATGCTGATCACATGATATCAGCACTAAAAGACAGGAATGCAGGCAGGAATCCCTCCCTCAGCTCTAGCCAGAAAAACAAAAAACTTTGATGCACAATATCATAACGAACAGACTCTTCATCCCTCCCCTTTCTAGTAGTGGCGGCGATAAAGACGAGGGGAACGGGCGCTGCAGTCGAGAGGGCATGGTTGGGGGCCACAGATAGTGGCTGTGTTTGATCTGAAGGTCGCCAGCCCCTTGCTGCTGTTGAGAGATCCTTGGCGGACCAGGCTGGCTCTTATTTAATAACATGAAGGGGAAGCAGACCTTTCTCTCATAATTAGGCCTAATTACCCAGTWGGTGTGGACAGACGGCCCAAGAAGAGACAAACTGTCTTTATCCACAGACTTAGAGTCAGATTACCCAGAGCTGTCTTATCTGTTTCGGGGCCAGCAGGAGCCTCAGTCCTCCTTGCTTGCCTCTCCTGTATCCTTCTCAGGTATATTAACCAGTCAGCCTGATTTATTACGCCTGGGCCATGACACGCAGCTTTAATTAGATCTGTTCATTACTCGGTTCCAATAAATGGGAGAGCATTTTATGTGATCTTGTCAGGTTAGAAGGGTGACAGAGATTTACTGCTCTTTTTTGGCATTTGTTATCTGCAGCTCAATCGCTTCATAAAGACTTCTGATGTACACTTATTAAAACTGAGCCTAGAAATTCTGGAGTGGTTCAGTTGTTTGTTCTGTAGGATCCACTTGAAAACTTGCATCTGCCAGATTTGGGATTCAACGTGTCATGAAATGGTTTAGTTCTCAGCTGCCTCCATCTGTTGGCAAGGACAACTTTAGGGTTGTTGTGAGCGGGTTTGAGTGACACCTCGCCACCGTTTTGTTTGTTTACAGTATCTGTGACTCTTCCTGAGCCGCCTGCGTGTTTGTGTTTGGGTTTGTGGGCGACTCACTTGCAGCCACAACAACAGACCCATTGTTTGGGGGGCAGTTTCTGGGACTGAAACTGCTGACGCCTGGAAAAGAGTGGCAACGCTCCACTGAGGAAGTAGTGGCAGGGGAAAGTGGCTATTATATTCATCACTTGGTTTGGTTTTAGAGTCCTTCAGCAAACTGGTCTCCATCACCGGTCTGGGCTGTTTGTCGGTTTGTGATTGACAGCGAGCTATGCCTATCTGTAGAAAGTTTTTGCAGTTCCTGGGTTTTAGACAATGAGGACAACCAGTTTCAGGCTGCTGTATTTGTGACTCATAGCTTCACGCAGGCTTTGCTGCGAAAAGGACAATAAGGCACTCTTAATCCACCTGTTATCAGGATGAGCCTCCCCCTGTCACACACACAACTGCAGGACGGTGGCTCAGGAATGTAGCCTTACGCACCCTTTTCAGGAGGAGCAGCTTAACACATAGCCCCTCACAAAAACACTAGTGACAGTTTGTTCACTTGTTTTTTTTTTTCTTCATAAAACCTCCCCTACAAATATCTACTTACCGTAAGTTGAATGCTTGCTACAGCTAGAAATGCATGATTTGTTGTAAGCTGTATTGGGTTTTTTTTTTTTTTTTTTTGCTAAAATGCATGCATTGTGGTCCTTGCTAAATGTCTAGTGAAGCTGATGTGCTGTGTCTTTGTGTGATGCTGTGTGCGTTAATTAGGCAGGCTGGTCAGGGGTCTGTGTCTCTCCGCTTCACAGATTCACATGGACAATTTAACCACTCAGCTCCTGAAAGGAACAGCTTCTGGATGCCTCGAGCTCCAGTTTCAGAGTCTGCTGATTGCAGGGAGCAGGGGTTATGATAAGTAAAAGTGGAGCAGCAAGAGAATGGCAGCAATGTGGAGTGAGGGTGAAGTCTTGTGTGCAGATATTTGGAAAGATTTTAATCACATGCGAGGATGTTATGAACTGTAGAAACAGTGCTTTCTAGCCGTACAAGCACAAATTAGTTCTATAAGTTCTCCATATATTTACATTGGTAGATATTATTTGCATTAGGCCTTGTCTTTAAATTCAGTTTACCTAAGCTTTCAGTTTCAAACATCCAGGGATTTTTGCTCTTCTGTGGATTTTGTCTGTCTTTATTATTTGTTGTTTCCAAAAGATTTTTGATGTTTTTTTAGAGTAGGAATGAGCAATAAGTGATTTATCTTTAGTAATTAGTGGTCAGAATAAACTTTATATAGACCAGGGGTTTGCAAACTGTAGCTCCTGAAACCCTCTTTGAATATAAAGAACATGAACTAGAGTAATTTAATTTATTAATTTTAAATAGAGATTCTTTGTTAGTT